CTCCAGAATCTTGGCTTCTCTTGCTCAAGGGCAGATAATTCACTGTTCTTCAGAATAACAAAGGCTGCAGCTATCTATCTTCTTATATATGTGGATGACATTTTAATCACTAGAAGTGATGAAAGAGAAGTGAACAAATTTATTAGTTTGCAGGGAAAGAATTTTTCACTTAAAGACATGGGAGAACTCCACTATTTTCTTGGGATTGAGATTAAGAAGACTGAAGAAGGGATTTTTCTCAGTCAAAAGCAATATGCATATGATTTGCTTCACAAAGCTTCCATGACTTGTGCCAAGGGGATAGCCACTCCTATGGCTGCAACAACTCAACTCAGTAAATATGAAGGAAAAGAGAGCTGTAATGGAACTCTTTTCAGGAGCATAGTGGGAGGCTTACAGTATTTGACAATTTCTAGGCCAGACTTGGCTTACAAAGTCAACAAGATAAGTCAATATATGTCAAATCCTTTAGACACTCACTGGAAGGCCATTAAAAGAATCTTGAGATATGTGAGTGGTACCATTAACTATGGATTGAATATTTCAAAAGGCATGAAATTCAACTTGGTTGGTTTTTCAGACTCAGATTGGGGAGCTGATGTTGATGATAGGAGATCAACTACAGGTTTTTGCATGTTTTCAGGAGGAAATTTAATATCTTGGAGCTCAAGGAAGCAAGCCTCGGTTTCCAAATCTAGTGCCGAGGCAGAGTATAAGAGTCTGTCCCATGCCTGTGCAGAAGCAATGTGGATTATCTCCTTACTTAGGGAGCTGAGGATCAAGGTATTACAAAGGCCAGTGCTTTAGGTTGATAATCAGAGTGCAATAGCATTGGCTACAAACCCAGTTCTACATGCTCGTACCAAACATGTGGAGTTGGATTACCACTTTGTGAGAGAAAAGGTAGCAGCAAAGCTCATTGATGTAAATCATATTCCAAGTTCAGAACAAGTTGCAGATGTCTTGACTAAGCCTCTTGGTGTCCAATTCTTCTCAAGGATGCGCGGTAAACTGAGAGTTTCTCCTTACCCCTTGCTCGAATTGAGGGGGGGCTGATGAAATGCATAGTCACATGACCATTGACCAAACAAAGAATCAAGAGGGATGAGTTTGTTTTATGTCCACGTCTTGCATGCATGGGCCACAGTATTTTTGCTTTTGAATTGCTTTGTCTTTTAGCTTTGGTCTTTAGGGATTTAGTCCCATATATATATTGTACATTCAGCTCAACAGATTGTGTGTTAAGAATACAAATCTCAGATCTGATATTGTTCATATGAGCCGCCATGTACGGACGTCTTCTTCTTTGTGCTGTGACATGAAATTCTTCAACATATCATTTGTTAAAATATTTGACAACAGAAGAATTAGAATTCCTTTATATGATGATACTTTTAGTCAATGGTAAAATTTATTATTATGGAGTCATGATTAAAATATACATCATGTATACAAACTTTTAGATTTTTTAATTATTTAAAATTGAAAATAAATAATATATGATCATTATTTATGAGAACTAATTTCTTACTGAGTCCATATATTTAAACGCTAGCAACAAAAAAGTAGTAATTTTAATAGACTTTTTGTTTGTAAATATTGGTATTCATACTTTTCTAAGAAAATTAGCATGTTTTCTTTTTCTCATTGCATTACTATTATATTATTTGTTTCTTATTCTATAGACAAATAATATTTTATTTGCTAAGTAACTAAAGCACATTTATACGTATTATGTTATTTTTTGTATGTGTTTTATATAATGATGGTATCAAATTATCTTATTTATTAGGCCACAATTAATATAATCACATAAGACTAAATGTAATTTAATATATTTGATAAAATTGTACTTTTTATATGAATTATTAGATTAAAAAGTTTTAGAATTTTTTTCAATGTTTCATAAAATATTAATTAACTAAGTCATTTTCATAATCACTGAGTACATATATGGTACCACCATTATAGGGTTCATTTTGCAGCAGTAATTGACTTCACATAGCTAATGTTATTTCATTTCTTTTTTTTTTTTCTGGCCTAGCCTTTCCTTATGATGTCGGTTCGCGGAGTCATAGATATTGGTTCATTAGGTTCTAACCGATATGAAATGTCGGTTATTTGTCGAGGATGTTGGTTCTTGGCCCGTCTTTATCCAATGTGTGATTACTTGAAATTTGCGAGTATGTTAATCCTCTGAGATAACATAATCTTCTAATTATTGAGCTTCGAACGCCAATGAGTATTAATAACTTGGTTTACCCAAAAACCATATTAACAAAGTATAATTTATAAATTGCAAATATGTTATTTTGATGGTATATTTTTTTCTATTAACTAAATAATGCTCCCAATATGAAATTATTTTGGATCTATCATTGCAATTATCTTTCCAGTGGAACTTCTAGTGAATTTTAGCATAATACCAATGACAATTTTTTCAACGATTGAAATATGGTCCAAAAAATAAATTCCAATAGAAATTCAGGTAATTGAAATCTTTACATCCACTAAAGTTCATGTAATTTAATTTGAACTCTATTGGAATAGCCAATGAAAGCAACATATTCGTTGAAATTTTTAGTAGAATACCTTACCGTTGAATTTTTCATTGTAGTATAGCAAAATTTTAGTAGTCCTCTCAAACATTATTTTTTATATAGTATTTATTGAGTAGTTGTGTTTACAATTTTTCTATTAAAAATATATTAAACACGTGAACTTTTTAGTTCCTATAATTTTTATTTTTTTTCTTCAGAAAATCACTCATTATTTTATCTCAAGATTACCTATTAATTTACCAATTGAGTTACATTTTTTACATATTAAATATTATATAATTAAAATATTTCTTATTTTATCTATTCAATATCATACTTGTATATTATATTAAAAACACTATTATAGTAAATAAAGAAGTTATTTAAAATTAGAATAATAAAGAATTTTTTTCTAATCTACATGTATAAATATACAAATAACTATTGTCTATCACCTCAAATTTACACATAAAATTAATAAGAACAAAAAACTAACAAGCGTTTAACAATTCAGTTCGATTACATCGATAAGTATATTTTTAGAAGGTTTATATTTAGTTATATTAATTATATTATTTTTGTTTATTAGTATGTTTTATATTTATTAGTACGTGTCACAACTTAGTTATTATTCGTATTATTTTTTATATTTAATATTTTTTAAAACTTTATCTTGTTCTTTCACATGTTCTTAACTGTAGATTTGTCAAAAAAAGACATAATATAAAGAATAGAATTTTTTCGATCATCTGCCTCATTATATATCAAATATTTGTATATCCTATGTTATATTATATTTAATTACAATTTTTTATTAATATTTTAATTAAATATGTACAACTCATAAATTCATTAATAATATTGTCGAGTCAACTTTTGTTCATAAAATTTTTAAAAATATATTATTTTCATTGATTTACTTATATTGAATTGAGAAAAGTTATGTTTTATAATTACAAATAAGGAGGATATAAGATTTCTTATATTTTTTATGTAGTATTTTTTGAGTAATTGTTTTTACAATTTTTCTATTAAAAATATTTTAAAAACGTGAACATTTTAGTTCCTATAATTTTTTTTTTCAGAAATCACTCATTAATTTATTCCAAGATTACCTATTAATTTACCAATTGAGTTACATTCCTTACATATTAAATATTATATAATTTAAATATTTCTTGTTTTATCTGTTCAATATGATACTTATATATTATATTAAGGAAACTAATATAGTAAATAAAAAAGTTATTTAAAATTAGAATAATAAAATTTTTGTTTTTCTAATCTACATTTATAAATGTACAAATAACTATTGTCTATCACCTCAAATTTACAGATAAAATTAATAAGAACAAAAAACTAACAAGCGTTTAACAACTCAGTTCGATTACATCGATAAGTATATTTTTAGAAGGTTTATATTTAGTTATATTAATTATATTATTTTTGTTTATTAGTTTGTTTTATATTTATTAGTACGTGTCACAACTTAGTTATATTCATATTATTTCTTATATTTAATATTTTTTTTAAAACATTATCTTGTTTGTAACACCCCACTTTGATTTTAAAGAAATTCCGGACTTTCAAAAAAATCAGTGTAAAATTTTCAAAATCATTTTCAAAAATTCAATGGGTGTTAAACAACATTTTTCATAACCCAAGTCCTATCTGGGCTCAAGGGGATTCATTACCCGGTTTTCACAAACGATTTTC